CAGCCCCACCCCGCCCCTGCCCCGCGTTCAGCTCCCCGAGTCACGCGCCGCTCGGCTCGGCGTTGAGGTGACGAGGTGCGCACTCGCGCACTTGCCGCCTGCAATGAGCTGCAATGTGAATGTTAATCAGCCTCATGTCGCTGCCGTTAGCGTTGGGCCGCGCCGCCGCCGCCACCGCCTCCGCGACCTTAGACCGTCCCGTCAGCCACGCCACGCCACGCCACGCCACGCCACGCCACGCCACTGCTCTGCACAACGCTCTTCCTCCCCTTGTCGCCATCCCCGCGGCTGGAGCCGCGCTGCTGACAATCAACGCCACTCGCGCGGGCTGCGCAGCTGGGCCTTCCCGCCCGGCACGGCTGTCGCTGAACGTGCCGTGAATCGCCATACGCGCATGACTTTGTTCCTCATGGTCGGTCGCGAGCCACTGCGCCGCCGCTGCACCTGCAGCTGCTGCCCGGGGACGCCTGGACCTCTTCGGAGGGGAAGGGGTGATGGGATGGGATGCGGCCCCTTGTGATTAGGACTACGCCACTCAAGGGTCGAACGCCCGCTGCTCGCGGGTGACGCTGCTTGGGGGTGGGGACGCCCCTGCGAGTAACGCGCCCGGATGTCACCCCCGCCCCTCGACCACAAGTGTAGCTGACCGTCGCGTTGTCGTGGTGGGCCTGTCCCAAGAAGACTCCCGCCCGCCTCTGAGTCACTCCCGACTCTCTCCGGCCGGGCCGGGCGCGGCTTGCGCGGCTTGGGCCCCGGACCTAGCCTAACCTCGAGCCCGGCCGCCGCCAGCGCGAGCCGCTAGCCTTCGTGAGGGTCTCGCACGCACCTCTTTAGCGGCCCGCCGGACGTGTCACAAGTCACACCTGGCTGTACTCGTGCGCACACCTCGTCACACCCCGTCACACCTCGTCGCCTTGTGCGTGCGCCCGGGAGCCGCCGCCGCCCCGTGTCTGTCCATCACATGATGATCCGTCTCTCCGTCTTATCCCGCCGCACCCAATTAACGCCGACTTTCCTTTATGGTCAGAAAACAATAAAAGTCAATCGGGTGAAACGGCCGCAGCGGTCGCGTCACGCTCTATTTGTCTCCACGATTACCGATGGTAATGAGTGTAGGTGTCCGGGCCTTGTCCGGGCCGCGCGGGTGGGGTGGGCCGGCCTTCCAAGCAGCGCAACCGCTGGACAGAGCGCCGCCCGCGCGTTTCGAAATTGAAGTCATCAGAGTACACTGACTGGCCTGGCGCGGCGGCTCCGCAACCCAAGCTAGTGTTTGAATATGTGCATTATTTCCAGAATGTCTTCTATGCACACACGTAGTGCCCCACCCCATAAGAATGGTTTACCTGCAAATCTGTTGGGATGTGTAGACGCACGCTATTTACTAAATACCAGGTGGCTGATTCACGCCGCGCACTTTTGTACTATGCAACCCGCCCGCACAGCTTCATCCGGGACTGCATACCCATCAGGCGCAGGGGACCGGCTCCAAGCGCCAACGCGTGGCTCCACCACTGTTGTTGGAGCCAACGCCCAGGGGCGTTACTAGGGGTAGTTCGCGGTCTCGCTCGAGTTCCCACGAGTCCGCCGGGGGTAACCCGTGAGTCCGCGGAGGTAACTCGCGGTTCCACGGGGGTGACTCACGGGTCCGCGGGGGTAGCTCGCTGTTCCACGGGGATAGCTAACTGAACGCGTGGCGCGCGAGGTACCCCCGTGGCAGGATCCGCGGACCGCGAGCTACCCCCGCAGACCCGCGGGTCACCCCCGCGGACCCGCATGTTACCCCCGCGGACTCACGGGTTACCCCTGGCGGACTCGCGGGAACTCGCGCGAGACCGCGAACAACCCCTAGTAACGCCCCTGCGAGTTGGCCCCAGCAACAGTGGTGAATCCACGCGTTGGCGCTTGGAGCCGGTCCCCTGCGCCTGATGGGTATGCAGTCCCGGATGGAGCCGTGCGGGCGGGTTGCATAGTATAAAAGTGCGCGGCGTGAATCAGCCACCTGGTACATGCAAGGTATTCAAGAAATAACACATATATGGGGGTTTATTCAGGAGATGGTGCAAACGATGTACTGCACACTTGGGTTCGCGGAGGGAACGGGCAGGCAGGCAGACCCTCAGAGTACTTGGTAGCCGCACCCCCACCCTCACCCCCTCGGCTCCGTCGTCATCTTCCTCGAAGCAGCAGGATGAGGATGACGTCGTGGATTTGGCGCAGGGCCCGCATGACTCTCCAAGGGGGAGGGGGGGGAGGCTAAAAGGTAATAATTTTTACTCTCGCTCCAAAGAGGACACAGACCTGGCCGGCACCTCCGCGGCCACCACCTGGAGAGGGTGAGGAGGAGGGGAGGTGGGGGGGTCAAAAGCCAGCGCAGGTTCTTGATTATGCGCCGCCGTGACTCAGAAAAGAGGAATCGGATTATGAAAAAGCCGCCGCGCCCTGCTCGGAGAGGAATCCGCGATTCGACAACCAGTAGGTAGCGGCCGTATCAGTTCCTATCGAAGGATCGCCACTCCCCCTAACACGGCACCACTGACTAAGGAAGGGGGCAGGAAACCTCCTGCGGGCCCTGTGTCGAGTTGGACCATACCCCGAGACCCAGACGTACATTACTCGCATTCACTGCGATGGTGATGGTTGACTGTCCACTAGGGACTCATGAATACTGTAACGAGGGAAATAGCGATGGAGCAAGCGCAGGGCGAGGAACTGCTTTCCTCGGCTCTCGGCATGGCCCGGGCGTGCGCAAGAGCGGGCCCGGTGGACATTAGCAACACTACACGGTGATCCCGAGCTGTCACGTGACTCGCACCAATTATAGGTTCAAAAGTCCGGGAACGGCCGGCCACGGCGGCCACCGGCCACTCGGCCGGCTCGGCCCTGCCGTGCTGCTTCGGCAATGGTCATGAGATAATTCCCCTCCTGCACTGCAACATACTGCAACCCCCCCCCCCCTTTTTTTTCTCCCGAACTAGGAATTCACTCATGATTCTCACTCTCTCGAAACTTATCCATCTTAATCAGCGTCTCTGCGTCGACAGTTGGAGATAATGTATTGACTTGACAGCATGCCTCCAGCCTCCACCTCCAGGTGAGGGTCCTCTACCCGACCCGCGGCGGGAGGCTCGCGGAAATCGCCGTCGCGGCCATCGCGAAATCGAACAGATTGGCCGACAATCAATCTTTTATCATCTCAGCGACGACCTGACACAGGTGCCGGCGGCGTGGCGGGGTTCGGCGGGGGCCCTGCCTGGCAGATCACATGCCGACCCGTTCGGCAGGGCATGCTGCGCGGCTGCTGCGGCTGCCATCTGATCGCCCATAGACACGACGTCAGCACGAACGTAGCGCCGCCGCGAGCCGGCACGAACCCGGTACGTACGCGGCGGAGCGGGCGGACGCGCGGAGGCACGCGCACCGCGAGCAGCACCGCGAGTCGCGGAGCAGTGCACGTGTCGACTTGCGGGGGCAGGTTTGTCTTTTAATTACTTCCACAACCCCTCATTTTCATGGACTAGAAATGTTAATGCAGCAATGTGCTCGGATCGGCGCTGCTAATGTGTCCGCCTCCGCGTCCACCCGGGCAGATGTCCGCCACTGTAGACTTTTCGCTGTCGGCAAGTGCGGACATCTGTCCGCAGGCGGACGGAGGCCGGACACGGCGGACGCCTCGGCGGACGCGGACACGCCGGACACGTCCTTTGGACTTACCCCTGACAGAGACGACGGCGGAGGCGACGAGGAGGAGCAGGCTGGTGCGGGTCCGAGTCAAGGCGGCTGAGAGCGACATCGCGCTGGAGGAGAGGGACGCTTGACAGGACGGCGGCGGCGTGGGCTGAGGGCTGAGCGTCGGGGAGCTGGTGGGTCGTCGGAGACCTTGCGTTCTATCCTCTGTCGCTGGCGTGTCACTCCCTCCCTCGCTCACTCACTCACTCACTCACTCCCTGTCTCTCCTCCCTGACTGTCCTCCCGTCCGCAGTGGGCGAAAGCGTGCTACGGACTGGCGGTGGTGTCTGTCTATGGGGCGCAAAGAGGCCCTCGCCCGGGGCAGCGTGGGGGCCGGGCCGGGCGGGCCGGCACGCCGCCGGGGCCCCCTCCCGCCCGCCAGGCGTCGCGTCGTCTGCTCCACGGCTGTCCGCCTGTCTGTCTGTTTGTCTGTATGCCTGCCTATCTGTCTGTCGGCGGGTCGGCCTGTCTCTCCACGGCCCTGCCTGTCCGTCTGCAGGTGGCCGGTGCACGCACACACGCGACCCTGTCGCCGCCCCCCTCACCTCTCCAGCCCCTGGATAAGCACGGGACACCTGGCTCCAGGAGGTCCAGCAGTGCTTGCAGGGGTTGCTCCAGGGGGTGGACTGCCCCGCGGCCCGCACTGACGTCACAGGCGGGGTGAACACGGTGAGAGGGGCGATGGGGCCGAGTCAGAGCCCTGTAGCGAACGGGCATCGGATGCCCACATGGCGTCCGAACGCGGTTGTGGGAGTGAGAAGCTTTTTCCGGGCCATAGCCACTCTTGCTTTCGGACGCCAAGTAGTAGTGGGCATCCGATGCCCGGCTGAGTACATACGCGTTTTGTGACCTGCTTTCTACTTCGGGCCGACTACACCCCCGTCCCCCACCCCCACCGCTGCCGCATCTGGAAGGACAGGGCAGCACTCTGTCCACAGGGGGCGGAGGGGCAGGCGACACTCTCGCTCGCGGGGTCACGGGCGGCTCGGCACCATTAGTCGTAATCCCATGACAGCGGCTGAGTACATACGCGTTTTGTGACCTGCTTTCTACTTCGGGCCGACTACACCCCCGTCCCCCACCCCCCCCGCCGCCGCATCTGGAAGGACAGGGCAGCACTCTGTCCACGTCGCTCGGAGGGGCAGGCGACACTCTCGCTCGCGGGGTCACGGGCGGCTCGGCACCATTAGTCGTAATCCCATGACAGCGGCAGCCTCCTCTTCCACCCGGAGGCGGCCGAGGGCGCCGCGTTTGTCGTTCGGAATACGTGAGCAGGAGGAGGATGGCACGGCAGGGTCACGCGCTCGTCGCGGCCGGCGGGGCTGACTGAGCACGCGCCGGCCGGCAGGGCGCCGTGCGGGTGGGCAGTCCCGCGCGACACGGGCGCCGCGCCGGCTTGCCTACCCCGCCCCGCACACGCACAGCGACAGCGTCCCGCCGCGGCGCGCCGACCTTTCTAAAGCCGAGCCGCGAGCCCTCCCACCCCCAGCCCTGATGGACAATCGCTTGGTAAATCACTTCGTCGTTCAGACCTGGACGCAACTCGCCGATGCCATCGTGTTCTCTGATTAATTCTTTTCTTCATCCGGGCGGGCTCCGAAGCCAATCGCGGGGTGCGGCCGGAGGGGAGAGCGGGGCAAGTCCAGCCGGGATTTTCTCCCGGGGAGAGTAATGAAGACGCTTGAACGGTAAATTGTAGATAGATTCGACAAGGACGACGGCTGGAGCTGGACCGGATCACGGCCAGGTGGAGCAGGTGACTCTCCTTGACAGTCAGAACTCTCCGCACCATGCTCTCCGTTATCCCTCCTCTCTACCCTTCAACCTCACCCCCCCCCCCTCCGTTTCCCTCGCTCCCCCTCGCCCCTCTCTCCGCCTCTCCCCTTTGTCTCCCTACGCAGTCGCGTCGTCGGCCCGACTTCACCCTACCAAACCAAGCGTTCCGTAGCCCCCTCACACTCGTCTGCTGCAGCTGCGCCCGTGGCGGGCGGGCTGTGAGATGGAAGACCAGCGGTCTCCCGAGCCCGGTAGAGCGCCCTCCCCGCCGCGCCCGTCCTCGTGCTCTCCACGACGACACCGTGTTGCAACTCGATTCCTCGCATTTCGTGGTTCGGCGACTCGCGCGGACCAGCCGCAGCAGCAGCAACAACATCATCAACAACAACAACGTCTCATTGTGCAGGGCACGCTGCTGTCGCAACGGAGAGGGGAGGCGCGGCCGCACGACTCGGCCGTTGCGCGGTAGTGCAATGCATGCACATTTCGAATACATTATTTGTACCCCAAGAAAGGGTGTGCGCGCATTTATGCGTCTTCGTTAATATGCACTGCACACCGACCAAAACAGCAACAGCTGATGGAGACGACTCTTTGCACCCTCCCCGCCCCCTCTCCCCCTTCCTGCACCTGACACCTATGAGGAACAGGAAGGCCGCCGGCTCCTCCTAAGAGCGCCTCTAGTAGCCCCGCGCCTCGCCTACTACAGCCATCATATCAAAGCCCGCGCATCTTCTTTGCTCACGACGGGGACCAGTTTCCACACCGTCCGTCCAACAGCCGGCCCGAGGCCCGGCCGGCTGTGCGGGAGAGGGGAAAAAAGAAAAGGTGTTTAAAAGGCAGTCGAGTATCACCTGCTGCTACTGCTGCAGCTCAGCCCAGGCGTCATTTCCTCTCTCTTTCTCACCCGCGGAGACGGCTTGCCGTGTGGCTTGTCGCCTGGCTTCTCAACACGCGTGTGCGAGAAAGAAAAGAAGAGGGAGGTGGCCATCACGGAATCTTATGAAAAATCAGAAGTTATGTAGTTGTATCCGATGACACGTCTTCTTTTTCGCTTCTTTTTCACGCCTAACAAACATTTTGCCGGCAGTAAAGGCGAGTAAAGCAGAGTGAGAGTGCATGACTCCGAACACGATGTACCGGCTACACTTCGGCGTGTGCACCTTGTTGTTCGAGTTGGCCTGCTCAACGTGACTCCGAAAATTGAATACATATCTAGGGAGGTGCGGTGCGCGCAGAGAGACCGTAGTGCAGCGCGCTGAACGTGCAGGTTCAGTCTTCACCGTCGCACAGTTTTCCCACGACATATTAAAATAATGTAATCTGTTCCTGCTCTACCTCATGGTACGGCCTCGGACGGATCGCAATGGTCATGGCACATGACTCTTCCTAGACAATTTTTAAAATAAAACCGAAAACGGAAATTTCTCCTGCTTTCCTTGCTCATAGTTAACTCGTCCCAGGATTCTCCAGGGCAGGCACAGGGGGGACACTCGGGAACACATACTTCCGCTCCGCTGTGCCTTGAGCAGCCATACATTCATGTCACATGCCACCACGTACTCGATTCGAGTATGACACAGCACAGCAGGAGGGCTGGGCTTACTGTTCTTATTTATGTTCGCTTTAGTTGTTTTTTTGGCTCCCTTTCGTTACACTTCCTTAGGGTACCTCTCTTTCTCTCATATTCGCGTCCCTTCTCCCTGTTCGGAGGTTGAATCGCACCTGAATGGATCTCGCGCGCCAAACATAACAGCACGTGGCGGGGCGGGGCGGGGCGAGCGGGCAGGCGGGGCTGGCCGGGGCGCCGGGCGGGGCGCCGGGTGGGGTGGGTCGGGGCGGGCCGCGGGTCTTATATGGTTGGGAAAGGCCCCTCCCCTCGCGGCTCGCTCCCCGCCGCGTCTGTTCTGGATCCCCGGAACGTGCTGCACTCCTGTATGGGTTCCCTTTGGTTCCCTCTCCCCGACATGCCATGCGCCCCCGCCGGTGTTCTCAATGCGCTGGGAGCGAGGCAGCGTAGGGAAATACTGTACCGGGTACCCACTTCCACCCCCCTCCCCCACCACCCACCTGAAAGGGGGAAAAAACGAGGCATGTACTCACTTTTTCCCGTTCCCTTCGAATCTTTGAATGCAGTCGCCGCGGGCCCTGCGGCTCGCCCTGTGGCTCGCCCTGCGGACCCAGATCGAGCGTAAAGTGTGCCAGTAGTTTCCCCGGAGCCAGCCAGCCCAGTGGGCCCAGAGGGGAGCAGCATGACGCCCTCGGCCTGCTCAGCCCGGCCAGGAGGACGGGGCAATCACCCGGACGCTTCTTTTCTCGTTGGTGTCTTTAACCCTTTTTTATCCGTCGCCGCGTCTCCTGAAACCGAACCAAAACAAGCCTCAAAGCAGCTGCTTTATGCTCGATAAAGAGCCGGGAGGTGCGCGGGGCGCGCGGACGCGGACGGCGCCGTGTGGAGGAATGTGATCCACATTCCATCTGGGTTTTGTTTGATGCTGCCGTGGCTGGAGGGAATGACGTCGTCGTCGATATGCCCCTTCACGCTGTACTTATTGTTTCATCTCCGTCCCCTCCTCCTCTTTGTCCCTCTCCCGCTCACGTAGAAAATAAAAAAGGATGACACCTTCAATAACCCGAGAAACACGCACAAAACACACACACACACACACACACACACACACGCAGGGGTGAGGTTTGTGGGAGCTGGGCGAGCTGATTGGGTGGTTGCGTCACGGACGCAAATGATTTAAATTTTTGCAGCACTGCCTCCCGCAGCCGTCGACTTTAACGCCTTGTGTCGTTATTATATAGTACCAGTCTGGTCCATATATCGCCCGCGGCGCCAGGCGTTATAATGAGTGGTACCTGCGTGTGGTGGACCAGCCGGACCTGGCTGGGGACACGTGTGCGGACAGGTGTGGACCAACTAAATGGAACGTGGGGACACGGGCACACTGGGACGCGGGGACTCGCGTGGACCCGCCTGGCATCCCGTGTGGACCAGCAGGACCCTGGGAACATTAAGTGCGGACTCCGTGGACCAGTTTTTGGTCCAGCTTGAGCGACACGTGTTCAGGGTGGCCCACAGGCCCACTGTACCGCATGCACCCGTGTGGGCGGGCTTGCATGCATATACCGCCTCTCACCATGTGCCTCCTTCTATTAGGGACAGGAGTGTGTGGCCTTTTCTTCTTCATTTTGTTCCCTTTCTAGCCGAGTTCTTAATTTCGACTACACACTTTTTTTCATTTTCATTTTTTTGCGGGGCGTGGTGGCATTCTCACGCAGGCGAGTTCGTTCTCCAGGGGGCACATGTGCCAGCCGCGCGGGATCCGCCATGATCCGGATCATCCAGCAGCCGGCAGCAGCCCCGCACCTTGGCTCTCGTGCGTCCCGCGAGGCGTCCGGACGGATCTGAAGTGAGACTAGTTTAATGTGTGAGGGGCTCAAGGTTGTGCCTGGGCTGGGCGCGGCTTGGGCGGCGCGCTGTTTGAACGTGATTAGACACACCGCTGGCAGCGCCTCGGGTACGATCCACTACTACTGTCGTTCGCTTTTGTTCGATTATTTAATACGGTTTAATGACCAAAGCCGGGCGCGAACCACCCAGTTCTGCCACCTGCTATATGGCGATCAATCAGTACACTGTGGGTAACAAATAAAACTGAAGCACATGACGCACATGTAGCTTGGTGGATGGGCAGGAGGACGTTTTGCTTGACATTATCGGACTGTTTGTTGAAGTTCAATTACTGCAGAGCCAATAATCTGTAGGAGGCAAATTTTCTCGCGACGAGCTGTGCAGACTATCATCAGACCACGAAGAATAAGAATGCCCACTTTGTTGTGTGCGAGTCTGCGTGTGTGCGAGCGAGTGTGCGTGGCTCGACTGCATTACCCGAATTATAAAAAGTGGGTACCCGGTATCCAGCGCAAACTGGTGTGAGGCGGCAACCGACTACTTCACCACCGCACCGCCCGCGCCCCATTCAGTGCGGCGGCTTAGCCTCGGCTTAGATCGTCCAGAAAGTATACGTCCGTTTTTCTTATATTCATAGGACCTCGCCGCCTGCGAGGCTCATGGTAGGCCACCCCGCACTACACGCTAGCACTGCAGGCAATGTATTGCCCACCCACCGGGCGCCAATGCAAGCTCTCAAAGCGCCTGATGGGTAGGCAAAATCTAGCCTGCCGTGCATGCGTGTAGTGCGGGGTGGCCTACCACGAATCTCGCAGGCGACGAGCTCCTGTACTTTACCGAATGAATCTAAGAAAACGGACGTACTTTCTAGACGATCCCTTATGCCCAACCAATCCCAAAAATCCCAACCAATCCAGCGCACTTCCCATGAGCGCGGGTGGGTGGTCCCGGTCCTGCCCAGTTCTGCCCCTCCAGCTGCTTGCTATCGGCATGGCCTGCGAGGCACCTCCATACGATGGCAAGGAAGGGAGAAAGAGGGGAGGGAAGATGGGTACTAGAAAAACAGAGACAGAGGTACGCCGTAACATGTGCACTAAAAACTTAGCACCCCTGCAAAGAGGCGTTAAAACGCAATACGGACGCTTTTAGTGCCTTATGAACACTTTCATCTCGTTTTAAAGTCCCTCACATTTAACACACGTGAAAGGAACCAAGTCCTTCCTGTTTTTCCGGTAGGGTACGGGTCGAACTCACTCTCACCCCCGCGGAGACATCAATCATCACCCTCCGCTAGTTAGTTAAACGACCGTTGTCACCCCCCCCCCCTTTTTCTATACCGCCTGCCCCGCCTGCCCCATTCCTCCCATTTACGAATCAACAAGCCCCCCCATGAGCCACCCGCTGGAGCCTCGTTGGAGCCTTGTATAGCACGCGGGCCCGAGAGCTTCCCCAGCGCGCCAGGCCGATGCTGCTCAAATCTGTTTCGCGAGAGGAGTTTTCCCATTCATTTGTGTTCCTGGCATGACACGAGTGCCTGTCTGGTGTGGCGGCGGGCCCGGCACAGCCGCCATGATTATTGACATTCTCTTCCATCGTCTTCTTGGCCGTCCGTCTCTCCGTGTCTACGACGTCTGCCGCCGGGGCTGCGGAGCCTGGAGCCCCCGGTGCGCCCCGGCCTCGGCCTCGGCCCCGGTCGTCCTGCGGCTCCGTGCGGCGCCGGCCCGGCCACCACTGTCACTGGACGCTCACGTGACTCCCCGTCCCCACTCTTCCGCGATCATCTCCTTTTCGCGTGGCCATAACATATCGGCCCGCTGCTGTCCACCCGCTAGCCGTTGCCTGGCGCTCGCCGCCGCCGAGCTGTGTGAGAGAGCGTTTTTGCTTGGCGTGCGTCGCGTCGCCGTGGGTAGAGAGGACCAACGATCCCAACGATACAGGAACATGGTTTTAGTTCATAAATGACGACGTCATGCAGGCGGACATCACTCACGCAAAGGAGCGATAAAAGCATAGGTTGATGAGCAGTAAAGTGTCGGGTTACGACAATATCATTCTTTCTTTTCTCCGAGCAATTTCCTCTTCAGGCGCCATGATTAACATTCTCCGCAGCCGTGCTGGGTATGGGTACGTGCCTTTTTTTGCATTTTCCTCTGCGACTTTGGTGTTTTGCTTTGCCACCTTCCACATGTGTGTCCTCTCCGTCACCGGGCGCGGTCAACCGCGAAAAACTATAAAATCAGCCCATAGCGAACCAAAGCACACCTCTGTTTGGTGCGGTTAGCATACCGATCTCCGTGCAAGCGGCGCGCGACGCCTTGCCCAGCTCCACCCACCCGCGGCTGCCAGCCGCCGGACTGCCAAATCAATCGTAATCCAGACAACTGGAATGTTCAATGTGCGGCTGGACACTCCTCTCTGCTCGCTTCTGATTAATTTCGTCAAAATACTAGCCTCACTGGCTTATTGGGCAGTACACATCCTAGAACACGATATCAAAGGGACGATAGTCGACAAAAATTAAGTCGACATCGTTTTCCACTTTTGTTGTTGGTCATTCTGCACTGTGGGGGTGGGGAGCACATGATGCGAAACGAGGTTTTTGGAAGACGCGGTGCCAAGGATGACGCAGACAGCGCCCTGCTGGAGAGGAATCCTGCACGCCCGTCCTCAGCCTTATTACTCATAAAACTGTCTCTCAGAGTTGAGATCTCACACATCCAGTAAGCAGCTCTGCCCCGGGCGGGGCGGGGCGGGGCGGGCGCCGGGCACAGACGACACGACATGTCGCCCTGACGTCACACGACATCCCGACGCCTCCTTCCCAATTTCTCCTCTCCTCTGGCTGGTCCGGTCCTCCGGTCCTCCGGTGATGCACGGCTGCGCCCGGCGAAGGTGAGATGGCTGAGATGGCCGAGCCTCGGCTGAGCTGCGCTGCGGCTCCTTTGTTTCCGATCGCGATGATTTGTCGTGTTTTTGTGCGGCAGGACCGGCAGGACCGGCAGGGGCAGGACACGGCGGGGCGGGCAGCGCGGCGGTTGATCGCGCGGGGCTGTAGTGTTGTCCCTCTCGCTCCCACCGCCGGGCGCCCGGGCGTGCCGAGCTCGGCGGCGCCAGGCGGCGGCGCGGCTGTGGGACACACGCAGATGATGGGGTTGTTTCGCATCGCGGCGCTGCTGGCCGCTGCTGCTGCGACTTCCGAATGCAACACGAACGTCCGCGGCGAGGAAGCAGCGCGGCCGAACGGGAACAGCAGGCCAAGGAAGCGCTGCCTAGGCGCTGCGCCGCTGCTGTTAGCGAGGAAGTGGCGAGTCTACGCATCAAGTCTCGGTGGCCTGCATATGTGGTCGTGACGACACGCGGCACACCCGGCCCGGCCCCGCGCCAACACAAACAAACACGGCGGGGGACAGCCAAAAAGTCTAAAACCGTAAGGTTACTCTATTTCCGGGATTTAAATCTCCTTTCACGTGTGTCCTGGCGTGGGCTCTGTCAATTCTGAAATTTCTTCCTTCCTTCGGCTTTCCTCGGAAGCGTGTTCGTAGAATTTCAATTTTTAATGTTTGGGTCCAGTCTTGTACTTAGGTTTTCCTGCTCTCCTCTCTCAGACTTGCAAGTGGATCCTGAGGCCCTTCTTCTCGTGCCACGCTCCGGTCAGCCGTCCACACATCGCACAGCCAAGTTGACTGGGTTGCCTACTCATTGGGCGGTTGCGCTGCGTTGCTCGGCAAGCTTAACTATCGCGCACCCGCTGCGGTGTGCTGTTGCTGTGCTGTTGTCGGTGTTATTGAGAACTCGATTAGGCCTATATCCTTGTTACTATCATGTCAACTTTTCATTCCTGCAAATTATTTCTATAATCACTTAACTTTGTGGAGGATTGATCACACCGAACTGTGAAGGAAAAGATGTGACCTCTCGCCGATGTGCAGCATGTGTTCTCTGCGTTGAAATTCTCGAAGCTTGAATCACCGCTCACAGCTCACTCTCACGTAATAAGAACAAACAATAATCCACTGACTTCATCGGTTGCTTCAAATATTTCCCGCCTTGATTCAAAACGAAAAGGCGCGCGCGCGCTATTGGCGCGCTTTTGCTCGCTGCCTGCTCGCAGTCATCAGAACGACCCCCGCTGTCCCCACTCCTCGGCCATGAGCACGGCCCGTTGAATGGCTCCGTCGGTAAAACAGGGTGTGATTGAATGGGCCCCATTCAAACTATTCAATGAGAAATGCATCGCCTGAGGGCTGAAATCTCGTCGAAAATGTTGAGAAAGGTGCAGTTCCCCAATTTCTTTCCATTTAATCTTGCGAAAAGTTACGGTCAAGAGAAACATTTTGATTGCCCCCAGCCATTACCGCTCCCAAGCGGCCACAAGTGGTACTACTACGTGGACACTTTCGAAAGTAGTTTCGTTTGTGGGTGGAGGGGGCATTTAAAGCTTTCAGTCTAACGCAAGGGATTCTGGGAGCTGTGTCTGAGCAGCTCGGAGTCCATTTTTACGTCGAAACATATCCGTACTTCCTCCGTTTACCGCGAATCAAAGTGAAAATTGTCGTGGATTTTGAAGTGTCTCAGTGTGTTTTGTGTGCGCAGTGATGTGTATAGATATCCTGTGTTTGGGTGTTAGCCTCTCCTTTGACTCCGAGAAGTGCTTGTGTTGTATTTCAAGAAAACATTTGAAGAGAGCCAGGTGTTGACAAGGCTTATTTTATATGGTTTACGCCTAGCCCACTTGATTAAAATAGATTTCTGCACAGCTTTGAGAAGTGACGGGCCTTGATGAATGGATTATTTTTTTTATAATCCGACGTAGTGCCAGTGGAGTGAGATATATCACGCCGTCTTTGTGGATTGCTTCGTCTTCAAGTGTAATGTCAAGTAAAGGATTAAACTGTCTGTATTATGCAGCGGGCAACGAAGTATCAAGGTATGTGACATACATGTATATGGTTTTACTTGATTAAGAGTAGTAAACAAACTTCAATGGACGTAACCAGTGCCATTCATTCCAAAAAAGTACCGCTCCTTTGAAAGAATTTGAAGATCATTTACGATGAATGAAAATTTCCATTCAATATGTAGGCCTTGACAATCGAGTTGTCATTGTGACATGACAATTATTAGTTTACGTTGGCAGGTAAAATTAGAACCGTCTCTGGGCCGGCATCTATTTTTCAATCGTTTGTTAGCCATTGCGAATGATTTCATTTAAAGTGTATCTTGTTTACCCTGGGTCCGTTTGAACTGACGTGCGTCCTAACCTCAACCTATCAGTTTTCACGACGTGCCTGTTCTGTATTTTTAGCAATTGCTTCACCAGTACCTTGCTGTTTTCTAAATTTCTTTTCCGATTATTACCTGTTCTTTGGTCGCCAGCCGGCTCCCGCGTTTGACTTGTCAACAGTAACCTAACCTAACTTTCATGCCCATCAGTTGTCAATGTTGACCTTTTAATGTCAAAAACATTTCAAATATTTTCTGTATCCATTTTTCAGTGTGTATTGGGTAACCAGATGATCATTCAGTTTCAATGAGGGTTTGACAGATGTCAGTCACACAGCATCCTTTTGTCCCATTTATAGGGGGTGAAGGCAGGTCATAAATTTTATGAGGGGATGGTTTATGGCTGCTCCTTTTCAAGTGCAGTGCTCTCTCAATATTTGCAAAACATTCTGTTTAAAAAAAATTGCTTTTACTTTTAAATTTTTAGGGGGTTAACCTTGAGTTTCACACTTCGGCCTTTTATTATTTTCTATGGGCATAATCTTTCATTTTATTAGTTTAGAGGGGCTTTACCTTTCTCTACCTTTCACAAACATTCATTTATTCGTGAGTTGGGGACTAAGCGTACTTGCTTGTTATGTTGCAGAGGGGAGCAGGACTAGGCTGAGGTGCATTCACCATATGCACCGCTGTAGTGATGGTGTTGGGTGCCGCCCTCAAGCACCTGCCGAACCATGGCAGGCAAGCCTGAGCGTGTGCCACCCGGGCAGCCATCTCCTGCACCACCCTCTTCACAAAATCAAACTCCTCTTCAAAATGTGATAGTGTATGTTTCGGAAAACTTTCCACAAACATACATGACCCAGCAAAATGTGGAGTGTGGAGAAGCTTATTCAAACAATATCAATGGAGCGGGATATATCAATGGCGACCAATCTTCGCCCTCCATGAACAATAGCAGTCAAGTTATGAAGCATGGCAAAACACAAGAATATCTTTCAAATGGCTTCCTTCCAGTTCAAAATAATGGAGCGTACTTTCAGACCAATACAAATGGTGAAGGAACAGTGGTTCAGAACAATAATTTTAATTCATGTCAGATGGCTTCAAACATGATGAACAGTTTTTCCTACACCAATGATGGTGGTACTGTTGTGAACCATGGGTTTGAAGGTATCAAGTGTGCACCTGAAATTTCAAACCACCAGATTGCTATGCAACAACAGAGTTCTGCATGTGCATCAAATGGAACGTCATCTCATATGGTCATGGATAATAGAGAATCAATGGGTGTTTATACCATTGCTCAGTCTTCTCAAAATGTACCCGTCTCTGGAATGCAGACATTTGTCTCCAACCAAATGGACCTCAAACAGGGACTGGATAATGGAAGTCTTGACAACTATATGACTATCATTGGAGACTCCAACTCTAATAACTTGAACGTCCAGCGGTGTGACTCTGTCAGATCAGATGCAGCGGAGTCTAGTTGTAGTAGTTTGAGTTCTGCAGATTGCCAGCAGGAGTCATCAAATAATTCTGGTGCTGTCCTTGCCCATCAAAACCAAGTGCAAGGCCAAGTGGACCTCAATCAACAACATGTATTTCAATCAGGTCACAACATGCAAAGGTTTATGCACCAGAATGCACCACAAACCCCTCCAATGTTTTCTGGCAGTAATCAGCAAGTCTTGGTCAACTCGAATATGGGCCAGCATGTTGTTCAAACTGGAGTAAACCAGCCATATATTCCACCCGGGGAGCACCATATACAAATTGTTCAAGGAAATCTGCCTGCTGACGGAAGCCACCCTCAGTTCCTTCAGTCGGGTGGCAGCAACAGGGCCGTTGTTGGAAACAACTCTGTTAACTGCTCGACCCCGCAAATGACTCAGGGAACCCATCCACAACTTGTTGCCACTTCAGGATCGAACCAGCTCCAGCTCTTCCCTCAAAACGTGAATCAAATTCAAGTTGTGACGAGTCAAGTGTCTGGAATGCAAGTCTCCGGAGGAAAACAGCAAGCTCAGCAGCCACACCAGCAGCAGCCCCAGCAGCCACACCACCAGCAGCAGCGGCAGCACTTGCCGCTGGGACCGCCCCTGAGCCAGCAGCCCCCAGCCTCTGCGGCGGCTGCCGCCCCC